GATTGCGATTAAAGATATCTATGAAGATCCTTCTAACCCCCTTACATGGCCAAAATTATTAATGACTGATGGTGATGCTTCATTCCGAGACGCATTTTCACAGGGAATGCAACAATATAATGTTCCAATACGTGTTGTCGATCTTTATAGTTTTGAAAGCTTGGCTTTTATTAAAGCATATAAGAAAAGAATAGCAGAATTAACATATAAGGTCCAATATGCTATAGAGGGACGATTAACTGATGGGGAGCGATCAAGAATATTTAAGAGAATCCTTAAGAAGTATATTGATTATCTGAATAATAGTAAGACTTGCCTTATTGGGATGTCACCAGCTCGTGCTATGACTTTAGAAGAAGTTGAATCAAAGTCTTCTAAAAAACCTAAGCATGCAATAGGAAAATATGAGGAGATAAAATTACAAAAAGGCACAGCGGTTAGATATCTATTAAAAGCAGGCGAGTTGGAAGGAGACCATAGACGTAGAGCGACCGATCCATATTGGAGCTTGCGTGTCTTCAAGATTAAAAGAGTCATCATTGGAAGAAATCCACCACAACCAGTCTTATATTATCTCGAGAATAAACCTATCGAATCTACTTCTCATTTGATAGGACGAAACCCCAAAAGACCCTTTAAATATGAGGAACTTCAAGAAATTGAAGAACCTGATAAGATTGAATACCCACCCGATGAATTTATGCGAAAATATCATCATACTGGATTTGTTCACTTCACTCAAATTGCTGATAACATGCTAATAAAAGCACATGAATATGCCTCTCGGCGTGGTGGTCAATGCCTTGGAAAGACTGGGCAAATAAATGGTTATGATGTATATCTTTGGTCTTGTAAAAATGGTGCGCATCAATGGGAGTATCCATTAAAGTATATCATGAAAAAATTCGAATGGTGTCCTCTTTGCCATCATAGAAGCAGTGAACGCCAATGCCGATACATTTTTGAGGATCTACTAGGCAAGAAATTTCTATCATGTAGGCCGAATTTTTTGCATGGAATGCAACTTGATGGATATAACGAAGAGTTGCGACTAGGATTCGAATTTCATGGCAAGCAACACTATAGTCTTAATTCAATGTTTCATAGGAGAGGCCAGATAGATTTGGATGAACAGAAAATACGCGATCAGAAGAAGCGGGATATATGTAAAAAAGAAGGTATATGCCTTATTGAAGTGCCATATACATGTGATCTTCTTTCTTACATTAAGCATATATTAATCGAAAAGGGATATTTGGATGATGCAAGTGGATAAAGCAATCTAAAAATTAGGCAGAACATTTATTGCCGGAGCTTGAAAAATTGTTACATTATTTTTCGATCTAATAATTAGTTAGATTGAATCATGAAATACGTAATATTCGCGGTGGATGAAGTCAAGTCCTCGAAAAAGTATCAGGGTGATCCTCACGCACCG